AGGCTGTCCTATAAGCTACCGGACCAATGCAGCATATTCCAGGCAGAAGTCTTTGCCATACGGAAAGCAGCGGAGGTTGCTCGATGTACGGAACGCCCACATAATGTGATCAACCTGTTCGTGGACAGCCAGGCGGCGATAAGATCCATGCAGTCGTCAGCGGTCAGTTCCAAAAATGTCCTGGCAAGCAGGGAGGCATTAGATTTCCTAAGCACGACTAAGTCAGTGCGGATCTATTGGGTTCCCAGCCACCAGGGCATCGAAGGTAACGAGACAGCAGACGTACTGGCTAAGGAAGGCGTCGGGCTGGCAAACGAGAGGACTGAGAACGTGCCTGTCTCCCTCAGAGCGCTCCAAAGCGATCTAGAAAGGAGGGCACACGTACAGGCCAGCAGCAGGTGGAGGAGAACCACCAACTGCAAGATCGCGAAAACCATGTGCAAGGAGAGCAATGGTAAACTCAGCCAATACCTACTACACCTACCACGGAAGGACTGTAGGATGCTAATTGGTATACTCACAGGTCATTGCCTGGCTGCAGCACATGCAGTCAAACTAGGCATCACCAACAGTGACATGTGCAGGAAATGTGATGAACCTGGGGCTATCGAAACCCTGGAACATCTAATCTGCCAATGCCCGGCCCTCTCAAGGGCAAGAAACATACATCTTGGCAGCCCGGTACTGGCATCGCTGGAAGATGCATCCAAGAGGACGCCAGCGAAACTCCTTGCCTTTGCAAAACTCTCCTCGATCCTCACGGATTTAAAAACCGCGTAAAAACACTCAGAAGGTCCATACGCACCAATCCGGACAACTAAGGGCCATATTGGCCTATGCGTGGCCCCGTGAGGGCCGTCCGGGACAACCTAACCTAACCTATTGTTGTAAACAGTATAGAAGGCGATACAGAGTCAAAGGGATAGCGAAAGGTTCGAGTTAGGTTGATGACGAGTCGGTCGGAGAGTTAGCTGGATTCAAGACGGGGTCAGATTGCAGACGCGATTGTGTACTCTACTGCTGCACCACTGGCTTTAATCTATGCATTTGTCCACTATTTGGCTGCGTAACCAAAAAAAAACAAAAACATATTTTTCTTATATTCTCTATTCTTATTTCGTATCATACTCATACTTTTTGTTAATTTTGTACTGTTGTACCACAATAGCATCACTCTTACATTTCACTTTTACATATCTCTCATTCCACGTTCTCAGGCTCTTGCTGTTTCAATATATCGCTCTCTCGCATATTTTGCGTCATGGTCTCTCTTTACACCATCATGACCCCCGCCACGCGACATCAACCGCGCCGCACACCATGCTGGACTCTCTCATCGGTTGACCATCGTGGTGCGGTCAATTCTGGCACCCACTGGTGCCAGAGTATATGGTAATTCTTCATCATCCTTGTCCTCCAGCGGCTGATCCACTTCAGCTGCAACTATCTCACTTGGCATAGCTCGCAGCTGTTCATGAGCGTACTTGTACGTTGTCTTACTAGATAAAGATTTTAAAATATAACGTATATAACCTTCTAGTACTTCAATAACTAAAAATGGACCTTTAAAGTTAAGATCCAGTTGCGTTTGTCGCATGGTCGATTACGCTAAATTTCACAATTTTTTCCTTAATTTTATCAAATCTTTGCTTATTGTACGCTGTATTACATACCATATTTCGTTCCGTTCGAGTTCTGACACCGTCTATATCTATCGTATTTTCTTCTACCAATGCACTATGGTACAGTAGCCCGTTTTTTGGCATAAAGTCTAAATATAGATACAGACTTGAAAATTTGCACATTTGATTATATTAGGATTCATTAAATATATAAAAATTTTCGTACGAATCGGACCACGCCTACCATTACCGCCCATATACGACGACCCAGTATAGTTTTCCCGATCTTGCCGGATATTTGTATTGTATTTCTATTTTTCTATCCGAATTTTCGTTGTTGTATTTTTTATCAGAAAATACTAAAATTCTTATTTTCTATAAGATAATTGAAATATCTACTCAATGACAAAGACTTTTTGGGAGAAAAGTATATTTAAGCAAAAAGTAGTGCCTCAAAACAAAGACTTGCTGTTTTCAAAATTCATAACATTTAAAATCGACTAATCAAACAGCACTCTATGTGGAAAGTTTCTATTAAATTTAGTTTTATTTTTTAAGTAATCAATTTCAATTTTATTAAGGAAAGGTAACAATCTGATAAAAAATTAATTTAAAAAAATCACTTTTCGTGCCTTTGGATTGCATTGTTGTAGTTTCTATTTTTAATGACTAATCAAATTTGACGTTTCGTTTTTTATAATTGTAATGTGTTTTACGCTGCCTTTGTTAGTTTTTCCCAATATAAAATCCATTACTGCATCAGCGCAGCTTTACGACGAAACTCATGTGTGACTAAAGACCAATTTTCTGCAAGATTGGGACAAGTCATTACTTTTGCGGTCAATTACGATAAATAACAGACATAATTAGTTTTTGTAAGGACGCCACAGGACGTTAGTTATTGTCCACGAAACACAGAGGACCCAAGTTAGTTTTCTGCAAATTTACACATAAATTGGACATTTCCCAACGTTGTTTAAGTTAACCCTAGTCACTAACCATACAGTATATATTGTTCCAGTTCATACAACGAATGTGTCGCAGCTGAGTTTTCTTTTCTAAGCTGAGCTATTCGGGTCGGGAGCTTGGCCGTTCGGCATGTATGACTCATGGCGGAAAGCGAAAGCAAGCTGAGCATTGCTAATGTATGTGTGTATACACCACGACAAAATATTTGTCAATTATCAATTTTCCGAAACAGTTTCTGTTTTGAGTTTTCAGGTTACGTCAATGTGTGCGTGCCATGTATTCTCACATAATGTGCTTGTGTGTGGGTTCTACAATTTTTCGCCGCTTGAGCCGAAATTCGTTTTTCGTTTTGTTTTGAGGTCTGATGTAGCGACCTGAGCTGACCTGCCGCAACATAAATGAGGAGAGGGCATAGTGGGTGGAGGTGGGGGGTGGGTGTGGGAAATAAATAAAATATAAAAATATAAGATGTTATTTGTTTTATTTATTTGAAATTGCAAACTTACATGTAACTATCCCTATTTTAGACATGTATATACTAAATTAAATGTGTATGTACGTAAATATTGTGCAAATTCCGTCGGCTTTCGACTTTGCAACTTTGTCAATAAACTCCTTTTTTTCAGAGAACTTTTCTATAAATGTTTCTTTCTTCTTATATACGTATATTAATACATATATGCAAAGAATTGGTATAATTATAAAAGGCTGGGCCAAAATTTGATCAATTTATTTTTAGTTTTTTTTAAAATATATAGTTTAAATAAATTTAGCAAAGTCATTTTTGATTGAAAAACCTCCCTAAAGAAACAATTGTTAAAATCAATATACTATTTTACAAACATAAGTTTACGGGACAACTAGGAGCGAATCTTATGGGCATTATTTTTAGTCTCTTCTTATTTAAATCCTCTAAAATGTTCTTTATTAATCTTACAATTTTCTGTTTTCAAGCACTGTGACAGAAATCAAATTATTACACCTGCTTTGTTTGCATTTATTTTTACTTACGTTTAAAATATATATTACCTATGAATTAATCTGTAAATCTGCATCTTTTTAATTTTTAAGTTTTTATATATTATCTCTACAATCATTCCCAAATCATTCCACACCCGAATGGGCTACTGGATCTAAAATATTAAAATATATTATGAGTCACTTCATACCCAACGGGTTAAAACAATATAAATGAGAAAGAACGTGTGAGTCGCTTCTGTGGACGTGACTCTTCTTTTATACCCGTTCTCAGTCAGGATATAAATTTGTGAGCTTATGATTTATGTGGAATTTTAGAATATTTTATATATTTTTGTTAAATCTGTTCTCTACATCTACAATGTCGATTCCACATGTAAAATGTAGATACATACACAATGTAGATTCCACAATGTAGATTCCAATGTAGATTCTCCGCAAAGGATTCGCATTGGATAGGGCAGAGTGTGTGCGAGCGAGAAAGAGAATAAGTAGCATGGTCTCGTGTTGAAGGAGGTGGGGAAAGCAACTGAACATCAATTTCTTTATTCTGGCTATAATAATGATCCGATCTAGTTCAGATACGGCCATCTGGTAGATATGGTTTTTCTCTAATATACTGCGTTTATAGTTTTATCGTATCTTCAAAGTTGTGGCTGCCACAGATTTTCGTCTTTTGTGGGGCGGAAGAGGGCGGTGCGAAATTTTAAAATACACTTGTAGCAGTGTGATATCACATGAGTCTGCAAACAAAATTTGGTTGCCCTAGCTCTTATAGTCTCTGAGAACTATGCGCTCATCAGGACGGACAGACGGACAGACAGACAGAGACTCGTCTATTGATTCTGATAAAAAATATATATATATACTTTATGGTGTCGGAAACGTTTCCTTCTCTGCGTTGCACACATCCACTTTTACCACAAATACAATATACACCTTAATTTTCGAGTACGGGTATAAAAATTAAGAATCCTTTTAGAGTTTCGTAAGGGAAAATAAATATGAGAAAATATGAGTGCCAGTTTTTAATGTCGATACAAAGCTAACGCCAAATTATTATAAAGTTTAATGCAATAGACCAAACCAACTTCTTTTTAAACGATTTGAGGCTTCAAAAATGTTTAATAAAATTTTTTTTTAAGCAGAACTTTTCTTTTAAGAATTTAACAAAAATTATATTTTTCTTTAATGCTAATTTTAGAGGTAGCCCTTCTATATTTCTTATTATCTAATTGTAATAAACGTTTCCATTCAGAACAGTTGATAAGTGCAGCTATGAATTGGACCCGCACGTTTAGTTGTTTCAGCTTACCGTTTGGGAAATATTTAGCTTTCAAACGCAAAAATGCATTGTTATGCTTTTCAGAATGGCAAAGTTATAACCAAAATTACAACCAGATGTAAGATACATGTGAAAAATAAAGCGCTACCTCTGAAAAAAGCATAAACAAAAATACAATTTTTTTTATTCTGAAAAAAGTTCTGCATAAAAAAAAATCTTATTAAACCATATCCGAAAAAGTCCGTTCGGTTCCTTGAGGAAAGATCGTGTTGATGAGTGTTGTTGGCGAACAAAAAAATGAACATCTGCACAGAAATGGATAATGATATATGCAGTTAAATATTAGAGACTCTTGTGCCGCCAAGAATAAAATTTTGCAGCTGTGATAAAAATACAACATACGACCAACAAAGATAGTGAGCCCAACACTGTTATTATATCTAAGGCATGATCATGCATTTTCTTTGAATACGTCCCAATCTCCTTATCAAACGTAAGGTTAACGCCTACAAGATAAGCAAATGGAGTCAAGTGTGTTAAAAGACAAATAACTATATCTTCGCTTGTTGCAGCATTTTTATACATTGTTATACCATCGGTAGCCCAATTACCATAGTTCCAGTAGTGGCAATACTGCTCTGAATGAGTATGTTGGTCAGTATGCCATCTTCTTAGAATAAGCGGCAGTGCCTCAGGCAGATTTGTATTGTAACCAGGCATGGATATTGATACTATACGGCTCGATACAGATTGTGTAACATTATTCTGCTGAAAAAGATTGCCATTGGAGTATATTTTAATGACCACTATTGGAGGGATTTTATTTATTTGATTAAATATGTTTGAAAAAGTTTTCAAACGATTTAAAAGTCTTTTTGGTACATACGTGGCAAGTAGTAAATTTGATTCATTGATAAAGTCTTCAATGTCATGATTAGATTGCAGAAATCGGTAATGCTCATTGTAAAATTCACCTTTTAATATATGTGGAGCTTTGCCACTTGTATTATTATTAAATAAAGCTATTCCAGATACATTTGCAACTAACGGATTAATATAAAAGTATAAAAATTTATGAGAAGCTTTTACGGATACGCCAATGTCTATGTAGTCGAAAGCTTCAAAATCCAGTTTATATCCAATATCTTCTTCCTCATAGAAGCTGTTTTGATCAAAATATTGTAAGGATGATAGAGTATCAATTGAATTTTCAAAAGTTTCTAAAAATTTGTTGGTTGAATTCAGATCAGCTGACATACTTATTACGTCTACTTCTAAATCTGTGAGGATATTGTAGATTTCTATAATGTCATAAATTACATATTTCCACTTTGCAGTGTTTTGAGCTAGCTCTCCTACTATTTCATTGAAAGAGAATACATTTGGGATGGCAAGATTCCGGATAGAGACTTGAATAATGTTAGAAATTAAGTATACATCGCCTGGGCCAATTTTTTGTTTGTTTTGTTTAATTAAGCTTTTAGTTTCTTGTACAACCTTTTCTGGTGCTTCTTCAATCATACGAGTGTTCTCCAGATCATATAACATTTTTGTAATATCTTGAGGATTTTCACAATTGATAGATTGTGTTAATAATTCCCAATATGCCCCATGCACAAAGTCTCCTGCACACAGTCTCGTATATGGAATACCATTGTTTTGAAGGCATAAAATCTGTGCCGTACCCTTTTCTCCCCTTCGAACCTGCGTCCATTGACTCTCCATTAAGTTTCGTGACGAAAAAATGTCAGGAAAACAGTATTCTGTACTACGTATTACATTCATTAAGTTACTATTTATTTTAATAAGTTTTTTGTAAATACGAATGGTTGAAAATGTATCGTGAATAATTTTTGAACCTTTTTCAGAGACGTCTTCGGCACTTACCTCGTTACTTCTCTTATTAGACATTTCTAGTTGTGCCATTACATGAGCCCAACAAACCATGGAGAGTTTTGTAACGCTCTCAATATTCATAATACGGACATTGTGTATAACAAGATCACTAAGACTATCCATCGCATTCTTCACTAAAACATTTCGAATTATTTTACCAATTTTTGCAGAGCTATTGATTATGTAAATACATAAATTAACAATATTTTCATAGTTCTGATAAGTGCATGGGATATCTAACCGCGTAGCAAAGATATGGCCACGCATCTTCTTAAAAGCTATCAATCGTTGAGTGGATACCCACTGAAAATTAAAAATGGTATGACCTTCGCACCAATACTCTCCAGGACCATCTTCAACTAATTTTAGTTTAAAAATAGAACGTGTTTTATTTTCATTTTGAAATATAAGATCAATAAAGGTTTTTTTTAAAAGTTCATAGCCTGCATTAGTAAAACATTGAACACCAATGTCGTTGTATTCATTAGTCCATAGGTAATTGCGGTAGTAAATCACTAGAATTAACTCGCTTAAGTTTTCATCGAATTTTAATTTCATTAAAAATGGCGATGGTGCTTTTATAATCTGCTTACTCAATACTGGAAACCATTTAGAGTTTTCATAGGTAACTTTTGTCTTTTCATATTTATTCATTATTACCATATATTTATCAGAAAAACTATCAACAAAGCTATCAACTTTAAAAAAGTAGTTCTCTTTTTCTTGTGGAATAAACTCTTGTAGTACCATTCTAATAGAGTTCCGTTTTTCAAAGTATTCTCTGATGTGCACATGATTCTGGGGTTTTTCCTTCCAGTTAATACCGTAGCATTCATTTGGCTGATAGCTTAAGGCACCAAATCCTTCTGGACACCCTGAATTAGATAAAAGACTACGTTTAAAAACACAGACCGTGTGTAAAAATGTGTTGCAATCACTCAATTCAATTTTTAATCTGTCTAGGCTGTGCTTCAAGCAGTAAAGATCAGACTTAAATTCAACTACTGGTTCGTCAATGACATTCCGCCACCGTTCTCCTGGCAAATTTATCATGAATGGCATAAATTCATTGTTTCGTTTTATTGGCAACCAGTACTCATTAATCCCTTTTTGTTTTAATAGCAGCATAACTTTGGTGATTTCAGGTGATGATAGATCTAATGGTATTATTTTATTTGAACCGTAGCAGAAGGTTTCATTATATGCTTCCGGATTAGTGGAAATTTTTAAACAAAGCGGGTCGTCATCATTTTGTTGAATTTCAAAGAGGTCATCCGGACAAAACTTATTATTATTTTTTTTCTCATTACACTCTACTGGTTTTGGACCCCAATGACCAGAGTTAGTATCGCACTCACGTATAAACATCTGACCACTTTTTTCCCAGCATAGGACGTCCTCAGATGTTGTGTAACGCAACCCCTTATATTTCCAATTTGCTGTTCCTTCATTTGTTTTAGTGGTGTTGTTATCACAGATGTGTAACTAATCGTATAAGATAAGCGTATTCATTTTCGAAAGAAGCTTAGTATTGTTTTTGAAACAGGTCCTTACCGAGTTAATTGGAGTATAATTAAAAATTATGCACCATATATAATAAATGAAAATTGATATTCTTAGAGTGATTAACATGATTCGTAACTGTCGAGTATACAAAACATTGAAGCAAACGATATCGTTTGCCCTTATAATAATGATTGTGTCCAGCAAAAAACCTTTTTACTCCTTATCTTTAATAAGATAATCTTTTAACTATTGTTATCTTTGTTTTTAAAAGTCCAAAATAACGAATGCCGAAATGTAAATACTCTCTTAGTGAAACGATCAATAGAAGTTAGCTTGCTTTATTTCTATGCATAAGGAGTGTGCCCGGTTTTTAATTTTTATTTTTATCTTATTTTATTTATTTATTTAATTTTTTATCTTGAGTTTGATAATAATATTAAAGCTTTTATATTTATTTAAAAAGACTAATATCGTCATTAATAAGTTATAGGCAGTAAAAAACCTGCACAAGTTTTTGCGAACTAAATATATCAACCTCAGCTGAACTTCCACATTTTTACCAATCGTTAATTTTTTAATAGTAATTAAAAAAAGAACAAAAAGTATTTATCATCAATATGAACTTGTTTCTAAGTTTAAATATTATTTGAAAAAACCGACGAATTCAATTTTTTTTAATGTATATTTAACCAAAAAAGTGTATTTTATTTTCGTATAATTTTTTATAATTTTATTTACTAACAAAGAACAGAATAAAAGGGTGTCTGCTTGAAGAAACTAAAAAAAAATTTTTTTATAAAATTTCTCTTATGTGGAAGTGGCGAAACATGAACATCGAATAAATCGCTGTGTCTGCTGTTCTAGCGCATATGGCAAATTTCGACAGTCGCTTGCAGAGTCTTATTTTCACTTCAAATGTGACCACCCGAGGCAAGCTGCAGTCGGAGTTGACGGCCCTTACATTTACAACAAAGGCAGTGCTGGAACAGTGGAACACAAGGAACCCGATTGCAAGCGATTAAGGCAGTCTACCCTGTTGTGCCATTTTTGTGAGAAGCCAGGCCACAAAATGAAAAACTGTCGCACCAAGCAACTGCAGGATGGAACTAGAAACAGCTTCAAGAGGGAAACGAAGCCGCCTAGAGAGGACGAGAACTGTTATCGGTGTGGCCAGCGTAGACATTTCGCTAACAAATGTTCCAAGGAGGCGACCGTTATGCCAAATCAGGAGCATTTCAACAGAAGAGTATCAATCAGTGCTTTGTGTCAGAGCCTAAAGGAAGTATGACACAGCGAGGTACGATCTTTCCAAATTGTTTTGACTCTGGGCCTGAATGCTCGTTAATCAGAGATAGTATTGGTACAAATTTATCGGGGAAACGCATCGATACAATTGTAATGTTAAAAGGTATTGGCGATCCTGGTATATACAGTGCTGTGAGCTGTCGGGCTTTTCCGACCGCTTAAATAATTTCCAAAAAAAGAAAGTCGGAACGCGATATCATTTAAACTTAACAATGGATTTATTCTCGACAACCGACAAATTCAATCCGTGTGTTTTATGGCGAAGGTTACTGAACATATAACTAATTTTCAAGGGTTGTTGGACTATATTAGTCCGTTCCATATGCTCTCACGGTTTCGACTCCCCCGCTCTCAAGAGAAATGCAACTCACTCAGCCCGCTCAACGCTATGCACTCGGGCTTGATCTACGATCAGTGAGCGAGCGTTTGATGGTAAGAGCGGGCGTGCATTCGATGTAAGAGTGCCAGCTAGCGCAAAGAGCTTGTTGCCAGCGGCTGCTCCAAACACTCTCCCCCCTGCGGAATATCAGGGACTTCCGCATCAGCATCTACAGGAAGGACGCAGAGCTTGGTATCAGCTTGTCGTGTATTACCAATCGAAGTACGAAGAACAGCAACTATGATTACGCGAGGGCGAGAATTGATTATTCCCTGTATTTGGCATACCAAGGTCCGAAGCTCTTCGAAACCAAGGATGCCCGTTCCGACTGAAGTGTACAGGTGCCGCTTAGTCATTTTGACAGCAGCCTCACAAAGCCCACCAAAGTGCGGGGATCGAGGTGGGATGAAACGCCAATCGAAGCCACTGTTCAGGCAGTGTGCATGAACGTCGTCGATGTGCTTTTGGTTCAAGAACAGGTGCTTAAGTTCCTCCAGCTCATTCCTTGTGTCAACGAAGTTGGTCGCATTGTCCGACAAAATGCATCTTGGAATGCAGGAACGGCGGCCAGGAACGAAGCTGTCGTCAGATCCTTTGCCAGCTCCAGCCATACTGCCTTGGTGGCGAAGCAAATAAACACCGATATGTAACACTTCTGTGGGGCCTTGTTTCGTACATCGGTCTTGTAGTAGAAGGGTCCACAGTAGTCAATCCCGGTCACAGTGAATGCCAGTGACTTCTCAACTCGATCCTTTGGCAAATCCGCCATTATGTGTTTCACGAGACGAAGCCGATATTTACTGCAGATGATGCATTTCCGCAATGCGCGAAAAACCGTCTTTATTCCGCCTATCGGCCAATACCGCAACCGAATCAAGCTGAGCAGCGTCTGCTGGCCTGCATTGTGATGCTTCCGGTGAAAGTTCTCAACGACGGCAAACGTCAACGGATGATCCTTCGGTACAATAATTGGATGGCGAGCATCATAATCAAGCAATGAGTGCTGAAGTCGTCCACCTATGCGAATTAATCCAAACGAGTCCAGAACAGGAGACAGCAATGTAATGCTGTTTGAAGAATCGATTTTACTGTCATTTGTCAAAGCCTTATACTCTGGAGACAACGAAGCCCTTTGAACACTGCGAAGGAGCATGTGGGTTCCCCCACAAATATCCTTGAGTATGAGCTTAGGTGACCTAATCCCATTGACGAATTTAGAAACATATCCAAAGATTCGTTGGATAACACTCGAGCCGAAGTTAACAGAACATTCTGCCGAACTTCAGGAAGGTCTCTCTCTGGCAAACAAGATTTAAGCCAACTATCCTTCTCTATTTGTAGAAATGCCGGTCTGCAAGAGTGCCTGAGGTGAGGCTCCCTGGGAAATTATGTCAGCCGGATTCAACGCTGTCGGGACATAATTCCATTCCATTCCCATCAGCTGCTGTATGGCAGCGACCCTGTTGGCAACGAACGCGTTGAATTTCGAAGACTCTTCCTTCAGCCACGAAAGCACCACAGAGGAGTCTGTCCAACAAAAGACTTTGCAATTGAGCGCTTCTATCATCAAGACCTCGCTAACCAAGTGTGCAAGAAGCGCGGCACCACAGAGCTCTAACTTGTGAATGCCGATCGTGTTCAGAGGTGCCAGCCGAGATTTCGAACAAAGTAGATGGGTCTGAACTCCAAGTGAGGTAGCCGATCGCGTATAAATGCACGTTCCAAACGCAGCGAGACTGGCATAACAAAACGCGTGCACTTCGAACCTGGCTCCAACTTGCAGAACGTAGCGCGGAAACTCAGCACGGTCAACTTCGGGAACATCCTGGCAGAATTGGGTCCATTCACTCTCTAAAGCCTGTGACAAGCTCTCGTCCCAGTCCAACTTGCTTCTCCACATCTTTTGAAGAATTATCTTCGCCCTTGTCAACGTTGCTCCGATTAAACCGAGGGGATCGTAACACCGTGCGATTACTGATGGCGCGGTCTGCTTTGTGTGTCGGCCAAGACTGATGTTGGGTGCAAAGATGAATAAGAACTTGTCCCTGCGTGGATCCCATACGAGCTCCAGAGTCTTTGTAATATCCTGAAGCACTTCTGCAGAGCTCAAGCACCACTTTCTCAAACGAAAATTACCACGACCAAGGAGTTGTGTGGTTTGATGCATGACCTTCCGCACTTCTTCAACGGCATCGCCTCCTGATATCATGTCATCAACATAGAAGTCCCGCAAAACGACTTTCGAGCCCAATGGATACGACGAAGACTCATCCATGGCGAGTTGTTGCATTGCACGAATGGCCAAAAATGAAGAAGGCTTGGTGCCATACGTGACCGTGTCCAGCTTAAAAACTTGGATGTCATCTTTGAGTGAATCACGCCACAAGATACACTGTAACAGAGAATCTGGCTCTGCCACACGCACACATCGGTAAATCTTACATATGTCTCTGGTAATTCCAATAGGAAATGTACGAAAACGCACTAGAGTGGTGAAGAGCTTAACCTGAATTGTGGGCCCTGACATTAGGAGCTCATTTAACGAGAATCTAGACGACTCACTGCTGAGCCATCGAACACGACCCTTAACTTTGTGGTCGAACTCTCCTCTTTCAATACGCAATGGTGCGGCAAGAAGTTTTTACACTCATGTACTTGCGAGCTAGGCACGGAAGACATATGCAAGTGTTGAATGCAGTACTTAACAAGTATTTCCTAACTTAGATGCAATATACGAACGAAAGTGTTTAGCGTCGCAGTTATCTCTGCGAAAAAAATTGTTAACCTTGAAATTGAAAGCCAACTGCTGAATCATTTCAATACATTTGATGAGTTGAAATACGAGTTACTAGCTGCCGAAACTAAATTAGATAAAATGGATAAAGTTTCCCATTTGTTGTTGTCCATGCCACCTAGTTACGATGGCGTTATCACGGCCATCGAGACCCTGTCAGAAGACAATTTAACGCTGGCATTTGTGAAGAACAGATTGCTGGATCACGAAGTGAAGCTAAAAGGAATGTGTAAAGACACTAGTTCAAAAGCGGTGAAGGTCGTGAATTATAACCACCCAAATGTGGAAATAAACGAAACCAAAGATAATAAAATTTTTAACGATAAATACAAAATGATTAAGCGAAGAGACGTCTGGAAGTCCCACAGTTCAGAATTCCCAAAATAATACGTTAGGCAGGTCCAAGTTCTTCAAAGTATTTCTGTAGTTTTTATTCACTATATTTATGTATTCAAGAGATCGCGTGCAAAATCCGGCCGTTTGCTTGTGGGTGAAGAAGCGAATTAATTCATCTCGGTTGCGCTCAAGCTGCCGAGGGCTGTCGGCAGCGAAAGCGGGCGCGTGAGCGTGGGCGGGAGCGTAAGCGTGGTGAGTATGCGCGCGAGAGCGCGTTGCCGGGGGGAAAAATGCTCTTAAGTATGAGGGCGAGAGCGAGGGTGACCGCTTGTGTAGCTGGAACGCTAACAGCGATGTGT